AAATCTTTCCTTTAAAAGGAAGGAGGAGCTGGGGAAAATGATGCTGTCTACCACCAAAGATTACTATGTATCTAGCCAGGTGATTTAACAGAATTTGAGTTCTGATTATCCTGTCTCTACTTAGAAATAAAGAGTAAGTTTTTGGCTATCAGAGTTATTAAACTTTTCACCTAGGTATGTATGTATATTAATTGACATCATCTATAAAGCCAGATATGTTTTTTCACAATGTGGGTATTGATATGCCTAGAGATAGTGGCTTATGTTAGCTGTTTTCTTAAAAAATATAGTAGTTAAAATGCTGACAGCTCTTCTTAAAGTTCTTCATCTAAGTGAGAAAACACAGACAGTGACTGGAAGCGTTTGCCTCAGTCCTTACAAAGGGGGTCCATACGTGGTAGCATTCTAGGTTCATGGCAGACATTACCAGCATGGGCACTGTAGGTGTTAGAATGAATCCTCTGGCAGATGCTGATTGAGAAATGCTGTAGAAAGATTATTAAAGTGAGTTATATGGTTATGATAATAGGGAGAAAAGCAAGCCTACTCAATATTAAATAACAGTGATTCCAGCATAAAAGTAGCCCTCAGAGACATTTGCTCCTGTTGTCTTATGTTTACTTGTGTACATAGGGTTTAGTTTTCTGGAAGAACTTCAAAGAGGCTCTTCTTTGTTTTGTGACAGATTTTGTTGATAGACTACAAATTGGTGCCACACAGTGGTGGGTTGCTTTGCAGGTAACTTGGGGCTTTGCACATCATTTGGAGAGTGAAGGCAAAGGAAACAGACCACCTCTTACCTACTAATAAGTGATATTATATATTTTGAGAGCATTTGATAATTGACTTGACATCTGTTTCTTGCCGTTTCCAAATTAGTTTTAAAAGTGCACTGGCACCTTAGTAATTGTACTTCTTTGGTTCTTAGAGGCACAGTAAGTACCAAGAAACGATGAGTTCCTGTCTAGGTGTTTCGGCTGGAGACGCAAATAAGGCACAAGGCCGTTAACAACAACACATGCCCAGTGGCACTCTGACTACCAAAGCATAAGTACTGCAACACACAGAGCCTTGAGTTTGATCCCCAGCACCACAGAAACACAAAAAGTGTATAAAATGCCAAATGTGAAGAGTTTCAAATCAGTCACATACCAAGGTGATGCTACTGTAGTTAATGGGCAAAATGAGTCTAACACAGATTATAAAGTGATTTTTAAAATACAATTTTAATTAAAACTGAAATTGTACACCATTTAGCTTTTACTTTTTGGAGAGGCACTTACACTAACACACAGGCTACAGTGTCATTCCTACAATTAGGTAAGTCACTCAGTAAGCCTCTGGGAGGTTAACTGCTCATGACAGCAGATTGCTCTTGATACTGATGAACAGTATAATGAATAAACTTTAAAGACCTTTTAAGTAGTGAACTTCTTGTATCTAGCCAAGTCAGAACTTCTCTTTCAGTATTCATTTAAAAGGGTAGCTAATGTTACATTTTAAAAGGTTTATGGTGTGCAGTGAATAGTTACACTGACAATACAGAAAGAGCTGTGTGAAAAAGATAATGTGATTCATGATTGTAGGATATTAGATAGTTCCATTACTTCTTGCCCCTGCTCCCCATTTCTCAGTAGCACTTTGTCAACCAGGAAAGGTGGGTGAGGCTAGGAAATTTTAAAAACCAAATTGGTTTAAATTCTTCTTGATCAGCAAACTGGCTGAATAGAAATTGTCTGATATTCTCTGACCAAAGCATCTGATTAATGTAGAGAGTAACTGATGGTAAGTCAGACCCTAAATAGATAATTAAAACAATACTTATGTAGTTGACTCTTACAGTTCAGGTGATTTTCTACTGAAGGCATCTAAGAGTTTCAATCACTGTATCTACTCATTAAAAGTTTTCCAAGAGTACCACTGGGGTAAAGAAAAGACTTACAAGTAATCCTACTAGCTAAAATAATGTAGAATAGCATTACCAGAATCTCTACTTACAGTTCAGTGCTTTGTGAGGAGGTATGGAAGGTAAATGTATGTTTCATTTTTCATTCTAGAAGATAATTTTTTTAATTAGTATGTTCGCAGTACATCTACTTTCCTTGTGTGCAATTGATACATGTACATAATATACCTTAATTCCATAATTTTAATAACAAGAAATACAGGTATGTATTTTCCTCTTTCATTTATTGAGCTTTAACTTCAAATACACGAAGTCTGTACCGTGTGTGTGTGTGTGTGTGTGTGTGTGTGTGTGTGTGTGTATGAGGGTATGGATGGTTAGATTGGGAAAATGTACTTAATGTGAAATCTAAACCCTATATTAATCATGAAATGCAATCTTGAAAATGGAAAGTCTAGGGCCGGGGAGATGGCTCAGTGGAACAAGCGCTTCCCTGGCAAGCGCAAGGGCCTGAGTTCAATCCCCGGTTCCGCCTTAAAAAAAAAAAAAAAGAAAAGAAAAGAAAAGAAAAATGGAAAGTCTGAGGACTAGCATCTTCTTACTGTTCTTGCTACCATTTACTACATGAAATCTCTATTTTACTTTTCCTTTTAATCAGATAATTTCTTTTATATATAGTAAGAAAAATAATGAAAGTTATAATCTAACTGAAATACTTTGCTTCAGAATTATAAAGTGCTGTCAATTAAATGGAATTCTATATTTTTGTTCAACTTTGCTATGTAAAATATGAAGTTGTTAAATTTATATATTACCAAATTTGCTACATGGATCACTCTATCGTAGATTCTTAGTTATGATTTTCATTCACAAATACCAACATCCATTCTAAAGAGAATTAACAAAGAAAAACATAGGGTTCTAAAGAGTTAGAGAGCTAAGGACTGGCCAGATAGTTCAGCAGACTGAAGCACCTGCTTAGGCAGAGCACAGCAGCCAGGGTTCGATTTCTGACATGCAGTGTCGGCTCCTCCTCCAGACTGCTGTGAGACTGCAAGTGAGACTGTGCATGGTGGTGTGCTCCAGTAACCCAAGTGCTTGGGAGGCTGAAAGCAGAAGAATCACTACGTGAGACCCTGTAGACCCTGTCCTAAATACATAAAAAAAAAAAAAAGGGAGTTAAAACTTATACTAGAATAAATATAGTAATGTTTTGCCCTTAAGGTTTTACAATGATAAAGCAAAGGAATAATAATAACTCATGTTAGCAAGTAGTTCCTGAATCTGAGAATTGACAGTGCAGACCTAGATTTAACACAAAGTTACAGAGCAAAGGCTTTGTTGGTGATACATTAGGAAGAAGAAAAGAACTTTTAAGAAGTAGCATTTCAAATAGGTTAAATAAGCAAATATAACCCAGAGATCTGGTGGTATCTACCAAAATTACAAGCACAGCCTTCCTTTACCCTGGCAATCCTTCTTTGTTGATCTCACCTACAATCACAAATGTGTGAAATGACATAGTCATGTTTATTTGATGCAATTTTGTTTATAGAGGCAAAAGATTAGATATAGTATATACCAATAAGAGATTGTATCACAAATATAGAAAGGCATTGAAAGGTAGAGCAGAAGTATGTATGTCACCTGACATGTATTATCAGCAAAATATCATTACAATGCAGGAAAGTGCGATAATGAAGAATGTGATCAAGGGATGGCAAATGGGAAATAACTGTACATTACTGAGCTTTACTACAGATTATCAGGTGGACTTTTTATCACCTCTTTGATTTGAGTACATAAAAATATCTAAGGGGTTTTATAATTTGCCTTGTTTTAGTGTTGGTGGTGGTGGCGGTGGGTTTTTGGTTTTTCTGTTTAAACCGGGAAATGAGCTCAGGACCTTGCACAAGCAGGTGCCATGTTGCTGAGCTATATCCTTGGCCCCAATTTTTCCCCATTTTAATTCCTGATCCTGTTGTATCAGAACTACTGAATATGCTGTTAAAGTCTATAGGAACCTATGCCTTTTAAGTGATAACAATTACTCTAATTGATTCTTACAGTTTATTCATTTGTCCATGATTAAGCTAAGAGTGGTTCATTAGGATGAAAGTTAGCTTATTTCTTATAAAATGTCTTCAACAAGAGAGAGGCATTTTAAATTTTGTTTAACATTTATGAAGTAAGGGGCCGGGGAGATAGCTCAGTAGAATAAGCGCTTGCCTGGCAAGCTCAAGGGCCTGAGTTCAATCCCCGGTTCCACAAAAAAAAAAAAAAAAAAAAAAAAAATATGAAGTATTTCAAAGATAATAGGAAAGGATATTTGGAAACTGTTCTCCGTCGGGTTGCCTAGGTGCATGCAGTCATGAAAAAAAGCCCAGACCAAAGCTCTGACCAGAGGTAAAAAGAACCAAGATATTCATGTCAGTCAAGTAGAATTATAAAAAGGCTTAAATATGGAGAATAAAGCTTTGTGAAGAATCAAAAATAAAACTGAATTTTTTGCTATTATGTTTTGATAAATTGATAATTCTCAGTGTGATAAGGAAATTAGCCATCATAAAATTTTACTACCTGAGAAAAACAATTTAAGAAAAAATAAAATGCTAGACATATAACTTGATGGATTAATTTTTAGTTAGGTATTGCTAAACCATGCTTACTAAAGTGATGAATTCCAAATGTTTTAATATATGTAACTGTCTATATTTTTTTTGCTATAAGAACTCACTACCATCCTTTTGAGTATTTAAAAGCTTGGATATTCTTTCAGTTCTATCTCTCACCTATACAATACTGTAAGGTAAATGTATAAATCATTGATTTTTTTTCAGATTTCATTATAATTATTTGTATAATGATAGATTTTCCAAGTGTCAGAAAGTTTCACATTTAATTGTCATATTTGTGGAAGTAGCATTATTTCCATTTTCACATGTAAAATAAAGGCCTGGAGTGTTTGTGACCTATAATAGTAACGTAGCTATATGTCTTCCAAATCCAAATTTCATCTCCTACCCTATGCTAATATTTTTTATTTAACGTTTTTATATCGTGTTGCTTGACATCAGGCATTTTATCTTTTCAGGATATGGCTTTAGTTGCTCCTGAAGCTCCTTCAGAACAAGCCAGGAGAGTTTTTCAAGCCTATGATCCAGAAGGTAAAAGATGCAGTAACTATGCGTTTATATTTTTAGGTATTTGAAATATGTTGATATGTAGCTGAGCTTTGTTCAAAAAACTTATTGAGTTACTAAGTGAAGTGTAGGTTGTAGTTCTTGAAAATTTTAAAATGAAAAACCAAAAAAGTAGCACATTAAATGTCTGTCACTATGATAAGGGTTTTGTGTGTTGTGGGTTCTGAAGTGATACTTTTCAAAGAACTTCAAAAAGTAGTATCTTTTTTCCCTGTTTCGTACTAAATATCAGAGTTGAGATTCAAATGAATGATTGTCTTCAGTTATGTGTCTAAATGAGTATTAAATAAATAGACCTAGGTTGTGTCTGTATAAGTGATGGTGCCACGATAAGCATATGGAGGAACTTTATCATTCTCTTTCCAACTTATGTTACTTTACGAAAGCTTAGATTTTTTTTTTATTTTATTGAGAAACGAATAGCAATGAGACAGTTTCAAAACAGGTTAGTAGGACAGTAACAATAATTAATACATTACATATTGTTGTCTTCGTAGTAGTTATTCACATTACAAGATGCAGACATGATGTCCTGTCTAAACACTATTAGTGCAAATCTTCTCATTGAATTAAGAGAAAGTAGCTGTATGTCTATCCTAACTATTTTGTATATACAGGTACAAAATGGTCCTTCATTTATATCCCCCCTTTTTTGGTTAGTTTTGTCAGAGATGGGTATTCCATTGCCATTTAAATATTGTAAATTCAGCAAAATAATCCAGTATAGTGCAGTAGTCCATAATAGTAGTGGGTTATCCATAGGATTGGCAATGTCAGAAGTTGTTGACTTGAGCCTTTTACAGCTCAGCATATTAATATGACTTTATTTTTTATACCTCATTTTTATATTTTTCTGCTGGATGGTTAAAAGCAAGACCCATTTAACAAGGAATGTAGCTTTTGTATCTGCCAACGTCAGTCAAATCCTCTCAGGATTTACCCTGAAACCCCGTACTGCAGTTTGGAGATCCTTTGTCAGTGTCAGCCATGTGGATGAGTCATGGCCATTGCTTGACCAATTTGCTCTCTGTGAAAGCCTGAGAGAATGTTTTCTCTCCATATGAATCTCCTTAGGCACACTCTACATCATCAAACACTTTCCTCTGTGGCCCCATAATCTCATCGAGCAGAAAATTTGGGACTCCACTGAATTACAGAATGTTACAGTACAGGTTCTTTTATGTCCTGAGTCCTCACTGTCCTTGAATAGCTAGGGCCAAAATGTTGGCTATCCTTGTAGCTCTTCTTTTTCTCTAAATTTTGATCTGCAAACTTAAGTTGTTAACCCTCCAGAAAAGGAACTTAATGATATTATTACCATCCTGAGAATCTTCAGCAGGTTTTTGAAACTAGCAGTTCATTGG